GGACGATTCCGGATCTCTTAACCTTCCGCCGCGCCCTCAAGACATGGCTTTTTCAACAAGCGGGCCTGACCTAAGGTGAGTTTTAAATAGGGACAATTTTTAAACAATTTTAAAGAGCCACAGCTACCAATATTTGGATTTTAATTGGTTTTTAGCAGGGGAAAATTTTTTGTACAATGTTTTAATATGCTGTGAGCCGTCCTGAGTCCCATGGGGAGAAGGGCGGCATATAAATTTAAATATAATAATAATAATAATAATAATAATAATATAAGGACAGTGTTGAGCAATGATTCTATATCAAATGGCGTTTTCCCATACAACTTCAGATCATCCACATAAAGGAGGCAGGATAGCCTGGTAGATGTTTTTGATGTTTGATAAGGCATGGCCTGAATTATTTAGCAGTGTTGATAGAGGAATCAGTGCAAAGACAATCAGGAGCGGTGATAAGTTTCCTTGAAAGATAGAACATAGATTCCTGTCTTGATATTAACTTCTCCTAGTCTGTCACTATTGACCAACAATTGCCTCTTCGTAGTGTCATTAATCATGGCAAAACATTTCTGACTTCTGTTATTTCTAGGCATGTGATTATCCAATCACGTGGCAGAGAGTTGAATGCCTTTTTGTAGTCAATCCATGCTACATTCAAGTTGGTCTTCTTTCTCTTGCAGTTTTCCAAAATCTTGTCAAATAGGGGTTGATTTTTTTGTTCCTCTGCTGTTTCGGCGGTTTCCTTTCTGCTCAGGTGGAAAGCTTGTTTTCAACTAGATCAGTGATGGCGAACCTTTTAGAGACCGAATGCCCAAAAACTGGCCCCGCCCCTGCTCCGCCCCCCATCCCCTGCCCCACCTGCCCGCAGGGCCACTCACCGCCTCCAAGGCCCGCCGCAGATCGCCCAGACAGCCCAGCAGCACTATGGCGGTCACGCCCTCTGCCCGCGCCCTGCAGCATCAACTGTGCATGATGGGATATGAGGGCAGAGTCTTGTCTACGCTGCCTGGCTGCCATGTCCTTGGCTGCGCTGCTCCACGTGGGCCACGCTCAGGGGCAACTCTCCTTCAGGGGGGCTGCTGGAGAGGAGGGGGTCACGGGGGGAGGCGCGGCTGGGGTAACAGCACGTGTGCCCACAAAGAGGGCTCCGAGTGCCGCCTCTGGCACCCGTGCCATAGGTTCGCCACCACTGAACTAGATGCTATTGAACTACCACATCAGTTAGCAATTTGAAAGTTGTTGGTAAGCAGGTAATTGGCCTATAGTTGCCGGATGCTGCCTCTTTTGTTGGATCTTTCATTATCAGTTAGGTTTTGCCAGATGTTAACCAATCTTTAATTTTGCCTTCTTGTTAAACTGTTTGGCAAGGAGTGGATGTAGCCTCTGTTCTGTTATTTCAGATTCTGATGTTGTTCTTTCTAGAACTGGTGCATTCTTTCCAGATATCCTCTTCTCATTGGGCTTGAAGGTTAGGGCTTCTTCTCTTCTGAAGAGAAGAGAAATTCTCCCTGCTAGCCCATCTTCAGAGAGAAGTTCCCTGAAGATGGGCCCTAGCCACGAGTCCAAATGCTCGGAAGACAAAACCTGGTGACCAGCTCAGATTGGATCCTGCAACCTGATGTATCCTTTGGGAATGTCATCAAATTGTTCACATAATATAATTTTAACCTGATGGCAAAGAGCTTCAAAAAGAACCTTTCATGGAAGGAGGAGCAAATCAGATTTTGTGAAATTAAGAGTAAAATCGCCTATAGAGATCAGCCAGCCTAATTACATGTTTTTGATGATATCATCTAAGTGGGCTACAACAGTTATTTATGAAAATGGCTTCAGCGTCATGGCAGATAGCTCGGTGAAATGTTTTCACTAAAGACAGTCCTAGGAATAAAAATAAGAAAGAAACTAAACTATGAGAGTATCATAATGCCAAAGATGAGGGCTTTGCATTGATCTGTGGTTTGGATTGCTTCAAGGAAGAACTTCTGAGTGGGATACTTGTTGACAATAGGGAGAACCAGAGCCCTGTCTGAAAGCCTGCCCCACAGAGTCAGTCTTCTGATGTTGGAGGCATGGAGTTCATCCCTTCTTTTGCCAGCAGATAAAAAGGCCAATTCTATTGAGCACAGGGAGGCACAGAGCCACCTGGATGGTTGGAGGAAAAAGTCTTGTCTCATTGACACATTGAGGTATGACATTCAGAACAGGGATAACTCTACTTCACAGGCTGGAAATCTCCCAAAATCTGAGGTATAGTCACATTTGGAATAATGTACATAGTTTTGAGTTGTTGCACACCAGACAAGACCAGAAGACCACAAGCAGAAAGAAACTAGCAATCAATATTATATTTATAAAAACCAAACTATAGGTGTAAACTGAATTATAGATTGCATAGTAGATTACATACTATAGATGGCTTTAGCTTTACTAAAGGCTGCTGCATTTAATAGTTAGATAAGATGTTAGATACTTCTCTGGCAGAATTTTGGAAATTTCTTAATTTTCTAATTATATTTTCTGGCTTTTACTACTATTTAGATGCTCCCCACTTCAAACTGGCAAAAAAAAAGTCATGTATTGTGGGGGTTTTTTAGCAACTGGGGGCAAAGGGGTCTCTTAGGGCTGTAAAAGGGGAATTGTGGGCTGCATTCAGCCTGTAGCTTGTCCACACTTGTACTATAGAAGTGACAATGCAATATATTTAAAAAGAACCCGTTAATTCCCTTGCTAAAATCTTATTAATGATATTAATACATGTAGTCCTAGACTTATGACAGTTCATTTAGTGACTGTTCAAAGTTACGACGACACTGAAAAAAGTGACTTATGACTTTTTTTCACACTTACGACCATCGTAGCATCTGCACGGTCATGTGATCAAAATTCAGACGCTTGGCAACTGACTCATATTTATGACAGTTGCAGTGTCACCTTTTGTGACCTTCTGATAAGCAGAGTCAAGGGGAAGCCAGATTCACTTAACAACCATGTTGCTAACTTAACAACTGCAGTGACTCACTTTACAACTGTGGCAAGACAGGTCGTAAATTGGGGCAAAAATCACTTAGTAAATGTTTTGCTTAGCAACAGAAATTTTGGGCTCAATTGTGGTTGTACGTTGAGGACTACCTGTATTAAACTAATATGCAACAACCAGATGACATGCCCTAGTCATATATGTTAATGTGCCTTCAGATTTATTATAGAAAGAAAGGCAGTTACACAACTCTTTATCTAGTAGTAAAAGTAAACTCTTCACATTGAGCTCTGTTCCTTGGGACTATAGGATTTTATATAATATTTCCGGGCAATTATATAGTCCAGGCAGAAGAAGAACATCATGGCTTCAAAATCTAAGGAACTGGTTTGAACAAAACTCAGCAGCACTTTTTTGTGCGGCTGCTGATAAAAACAGGATCGCCAACATGATCGCCAATGTCTGATAACGGATATGGCACAAGAAGAAGAAGAATTATATAGTTGTGATTTGCCATTGCTTTCTTGCAGTATGCTTTTTCAATATTGTCTAGTCTCCATTCCTAGTATTTCCAGTAGCTACGTATCCATAGGTATTTTGCTGTCTAAGGTTGACCGGCTGCTGACACACTGCAGGGCTGATCCAGGCCTTCACATAGGAAGCTCAGAGTATATTCTTAGTTTAGATACTCCCAGCTTTTTCATTTTTTTTCAATTTTATTTATCCAGCTTATTCTACTTTGCATGGTTGTTATGAATATATATATAAATATCTCTGTATTTTGTGCAGTAATAATCGTAGGTAATTCTCAAATGAGCCACTGGGTTTGTTTCAGGGTGCATTTCCTTTTAAATCTGAAGCTAATTCTGGTTCCTTTGTTCTTTCCTTCTAGCTCTGTCAAAGATGCACTGGACACCAGAGCATGCCCAGCCCCTGAATCAGTGGCCAGAGCAGCACCTTGATGTCTCCTCCACCACCTCCTCACCTGCCCACAAATCTGATCTCTACCATAGCAATAGGCAGCGCTTCAACTATGCCTGGGCCAATGATGACATCTCTGCTCTGACTGCTTCCAACCTGCTGAAGAGGTATGCGGAGAAGTACTCAGGAGTCCTCGACTCCCCTTATGACCGGCCATCAGCACTCAACACCTATGGGGATGGTGCCTTCGGACCCCTCAATGGACAGAAGGGGGAGGTGGAGCCTTGGTCAATGGCCCACAGCGCCGAAGGAGTTTACCCTCTGACCCCAATGCATGATGGACTGTCCAGCTCCAAGGGGATTGTCCCTCCTCCTGTCACACCGGGTAATGGTCTTGGTACATCCCCCGTGGTTTCCACTAACCTGTCTGACTCAATTTATCCCAGTAACACTTGTGGTGGACCCACCACATCTGGCAGCCTCGGGGCATCTCAGGAGTATCCGTCGGGCTACAGTGGAGCCTACCTGCCCTCAGGCTATTGCAGCCAGCCCACTTCAGCACTTCCCCCTCCGCACCCACCCACCCACCTGCATAGCTCTGGCCTCTTGCAGCCCAGCCATCCTTCCACCACCCTTGTCCCTGGATATACTTCTTCAGGACCCATGTACAATTACACTTCAGGGAGCTACCCAGCCCAGCCCAGTTATGGTGCCATCCACCCTCCCCATCCTTCAGCTTCATATTTACCCTCAGGCATTGCTGCCCCCACACCCATCCCCCCTTCCTCTCGCCCTCCTGTGGTCCCTGGTTACAGCTATCAGAGTCCTCTCTCTGTAGCACCCTTGAGTGGTGAATCAGGGAGCTCTTTGAAAAGAAAGGCCTTTGATATCGCTGGCGGGGAGGATGATGGCGAAGGCAGGTATCGCAAATACAGCTATGAGCAACCAAAGTCCCCATATCAGATGTCCGACAATGGTGAATGTAGAGGGAATGGATTCAGCCGGAGCTCAGAGGTGCCTTTCAAAGGTGGGAAAAGGCCAAGTGGAGCAGGAGTGGTGGCAACCACAGTGGCTTCCGAGGAGCCCATTGGAAAGTTCAACAACCAGGCTATGAAAGGAATGGTCTCTCCAGCTTACAGTGTTAGTGAAGCCCCACTGAGGGCTAGTGAGAGCTTTGAGAAATTCACTCCTCCAGCTGCCAATGGGGAGCATGAGGGGGACTCCTTTGCTCTAAGGATGCAGCCCAAAACAACAGCATTCAGCGGTGACAATAGCAGCCAGCCAGTAGAAGAACAGCTGAAAACCATGGACCCTTTCATTCTGGAATTGGTGAACAACAAAGTAATTGACTGTGGCCCTCCAGTCCAGTGGACGGACATTGCAGGACAAGTCTCTGTCAAAGCTGCCATTGAAGAAGAGCTTGTATGGCCCATCCTGAGGCCTGGCGCATATACTGGTGCAAGCCAACCACCCAGAACCATCCTGCTTTTTGGGCCTCGTGGTGTAGGGAAGACCCTGTTGAGCAGGTGCATTTCTACCCAGCTGGGATCTACCCTGTTGAAGCTCAGTGGGACAGCCTTAGTCTCCAAGTGGAAGGCTGAGGCTGAGAAAATCCTACAGACCACCTTCTTTATATCCAACTGTCGGCAGCCTGCTGTTATTCTCCTCACCGACTTGGAATCTGTCCTAGAAGACGCTGCCATCTTGAAGTCCCAGTTGCTCACCTACCTGGACAAGCTTGCTACCTCAGCTGAGCAGAATGTGGTTGTCATAGCAACCACCACCAGGCCTGGTACTCTGGATGAAGCCACCCAAAGAAGGTTTGCCAAACGATTTTACATCTCCCCGCCAGACAGCATTGCAAGGCGGCAGATTCTGCACCATGCTTTAGCTCAGCAAAACTACTGTCTCAGTGAGAGGGAGATGGCCTCCATTGTCCAACTTACTGAAAGCTACTCGGGCAGTGAGCTGCTCCAGCTCTGTCAGCAGGCAGGGACCAACAAACTGCATAGCCTGCCTGGCCAAATCCAACCCACTTCCTACAAAGATTTCGAAAGTGTTTTCTGCAAGATCCACCCTGCTGTCTCTCAGAAGGAGTTGGACCTGTATGTGGAATGGGATAAAATGTATGGGTCTCACAATTAGTGGGGAAGCGCCTGTTCTTCTTTCCAAATAATGTTTAATCTTTTTGAGAGGAAGCTACTGGAAACATTGAATTCTCTGTTTGCTCTTAAAGGTCTTGGGGCGCTGTGGGTTCCAGTTTCTGAGAGTCTCATATCTCCTTCCCTGTGAAAACGTGGGAAAGGGTGAGAAATAGTTTTCATCTCTTTAAAAGCAAAAAGCCACACCAATTGGATGCAAGTCCTCCCCTAGACTGACTGACATGCAGCTTGTTTTTTAAAATATGTCTGAAAGTTTGTGTGGTGGTTGTCAGATCTCTATGTTAATGAAAGGTAGTTGCTCAATGAACTCAGGATAACCTATTTATTATTGATCTGTTTTTCTAATCAACCCTTTCCAGCCAGCATTGTAAAATATTCTGCCAGGTATTACCCCTTTCCCAGCACCTTTTTAGTGCTGCACACCTCAAACACTTCTGTCTGACTCTTCACATTTCTGTTGCAGCCTCTCTCTATCTTTTTACCCTGGAGAAACTCTTGAAATAATTGTTTAGGTCTCAGGGAAGCCCTGCATAAAAATAGCCAAAAAAGAAGAAGATACAAATACCTCACAATTCAATTCACTTCTAACCTACACCATCCACATTTTATAATATTTACAACAGCAAAATGGCAGACTGGCAGCAACATCGTGGTGTATAAAAATTCCCACCACTGTCAATACTGGTGTTGCCTGGCTTGCAAAGTTCCCAAAAAACAATTTATTTTTTTTTCCCGAGCATGATGTCTGGCAGAATCCCATGGTTTTGTCAAACTCTAATTAGGGAAGGTTGTCCTATAGCAGTGGTGGTGAACCTATAGCACGGGTGCCAGAGGCGGCACTCGGAGCCCTCTCTGTGGGCACGCGCGCCGTCACCTCAGTCCTAGGCCTTCAGCTGGGTTTTATAAAACCTTTTCGCTTTAGGCCTCTGCCGCCATGTGCAAAAAAAAAAAAAAAAGGTTCAATCAGTCAATTTCAACTTCTCGCAGGAAAAAAAAAAGATCTTGCAAAGTTGGAATTGATTGAACTTTTTAGTCCCATCCAATCTGCCGTTATCACCTCAGCCACTCCCAGCCAATGGGCCACACCCACCCAGCATTCGACGATGTATAAGTAGGTTTTGGGTTGCAGTTTGGGCACTCAGTCTCTAAAAGGTTCGCCATCACTGTCCTATAGGTAACCACCTATGGGTCATTCACTTATTATTTCTCAACAGACTCATTTTCAGAGGCATAACTTACCATAAAGCAGGTGGCATCAATATCTTTTAAGAGAAGGGGGTTGGGATTTTTAAAAAATGTAGATTGTTGAATAAGCTAGGCTCTTTTTTATTTTTCTAATGTATGTAGTAGTGGTTTTTTCCCTTTTTTTAACTACTCAGGAAAAATAATTTACCTCAAAAAATAAAGAATGTTTGCATTTTTTTTAACTCAAGGAAAATAAAAATGATTTGGAGGGATTACAAATGTGCTTTATAAGGTGCACAAGAGAAAAAAAGCAAGAATAAACTTGAAGTTGTTACAAAGATAAAAGTTGAATGTATTTCAGGGGCGTTTCACAATATATAATGCCATAACTTACTTTCTTTTTGTTTAAAGAAAGCATTTTTGCCATAGCATTTAGGTGGAGTAATGTGTCTTCAAAGAATAAGAAGTATTAGTATTGTAGTTTCAAAGCCATGGCTAGTACCACTTTTTAAAGGAATCTTTTTATTACATTTCCAAATTCCAAATGGCCAAGTCATGTTTCCTTTTCCTATGCTTTTTATAGGACCTCATATAGTAAGATTTCCATAATAAAAGAAAATGTCCATTTGAGCTTCCCAAAATATTTTGAGGCAAAGCAAAACAAACATGGACCTGTGGTCCCTATCAAATTATCCCAAGGACCATGGCATTTTTCCTAACTTGGTTGCCCTCAAATTCCTGGTTGAATCTCCCAGAATTCTCCAGCTAACATGGGCATTTCTGAGAATTGTAGGAGCCAGACTGGGGAAACCTGGCCTATAGGATTCAATGAGTATCTGCATGTGGAGAAGGAAGTTAGTAGATGAATACCGGTAGGTGCCCTTTTAGGTTCTTCATTCAAGGTTGAGAAGCTTCTACTAAATCTAATCCTCTGATCCAGGGGGTCTTCAAACTTGGTCCTTTTATGACTTGTGGACCTCAACTCCCAGAATTCCTCAGCCAGGCATGCTGGCTGAGGAATTCTGGGAGTTGAAGTCCACAAGTCATAAAAGGGCCAAGTTTGAAGACCCCTGCTCTGATCCATCCCAGAGCAGGGGGGAGGTATGTCAGCCATGGAGCTAGAACATTTATTTCCAATCACCCCTGCACAATTTATTTTTTCTGCCTCTTGCATTTTTGTCCCGACCTGGGAGTCACAATTTAAGAGGTAAATCTATGTAGGTTTATACTCTGTAGTGTTCCATTTATAGGTTCACGTGTAAGTAAATGGAGGGCATGTCTTGTAAATGTTTCTGTAAGTGAATAATGTTACCCTCTGTGTAAGCATGTAAGAAATCCTGCCTTTATGAAAATACGGTTGAAAATGGAATCATGTGACTTAGGAGAGACTTGTACCCTCTCAAGCAGGAGATACACAGCAGGAGACTCTCATGTGCCTATTTTGCATTGTCATTTTGTTGTTATTGTTGTTGCAGTATGTTGCCATACTGAATAATTCTAATAGAGTGGTGTGTTTCTCAACTTCAGGAGCTTTAGGATGTGTAGACTTCAACTCCCAGAATTCCCCAGCAAGCATGTAATTAAAGGTGCTTGAGGTTGAGAAACACTGAGATAGAACCTGCTAGTTTAATATGTATAGCCCAGATTGAGCATAATATGAGGCCTCAATTAATACACCTGCAGAGTTAAGTCATCTTTTGTCCCCATCTCCCCTCAAAATCCTTCAAACCCCAAAGTTAGTTTTGGAGAAGAAACTGACAATTCTTGCATCTAAATATTCCCATTTTGTAAAAGTTTACAAAAAACACTTCTTGGAATATGGAGAGAAATTGATCAAAGGTAAATCTCCAAATATTAAAATTACTATAGTACAGACATGTCAAACTCGCGACGTCACGTGATGTCGCGCAATGTATCAGAGCTTTTTCGCCATTGTCGGCAATGGGGTGGGCGTGGTTTCCCGATGACGCATCCGGCCTGCAGGGCGGCAGTTTGACACCCCTGCTATAGTAGATAGGAACCATCTGACTATATGGGATAATAAGTTATTAAAAAGTTTATAAAGAATTTCCTTTGTATATTCATAGTGCAGTAAGTCAAACCTAAGTTCCCTATTCAGGAGTAGGCTGGATTTTAATGGCACCCAGACTCTTTCTATGATCCCTGGAATTCTGCCTTCCCCTCAAAACTGCCTTGCCAAAATGTAATAGCAAACCAATAATTTGTTTTCCTTTTCCACAAATAGAGAGTAAAAGTACAATAAAGTTGTTAAATTCCATCAGATAGAAGACACCTGTTTAACCAGGAGGACTGAAGTTCTCCAAAAGGAGGAAGCTTCTCAGGTGAGATATACTTCTTTTGCCAAAGTACTGGTTTATAAACCACAATGCCTTAGAGCAGTACCAAACATTATGGCTTAGTGCAAATTCTGATGCCAGCAGGAGTCATGTTTGGGATACATCAATATCTACTCTATTTCAAATATAGCTAAATCTGGATCCAACCCAAATCCATGTGGACAGAACCAGAGAAAGGTAATTGGCTTAAGAACTATTAGGGGATGAGTGACATCTTTAAATAGGTACTTTTGAGATACTTCCATATTCTACAGTTATAAGAATATCTCAATAAGGTCAATATAATTTGCATGTAAAGCACAGCATTAAAGTAGGAGACAGAACAAGCACTCGCATTTGCATTTAGCACTCAATGACAGGCTCCCTTGCAATGTCTTACTGGTGACTTCACACCTCTTCCTTCTTCTTCTTCTTGTGCCATATCTGTTATCGGACGTTGGCGATCATGTTGGTGATCCTGTTTTTATCAGCAGCCGCACGAAAAAGTGCTGCTGAGTTTTGTCCAAACCAGTCCCTTAGATTTTGAAGCGTCTTATTACTGCAAATTAATTAGCCAAAGTAAATAATAATCTCATATGGTTTAGAATAGGTGGGGAACTATGGCCTTTTTATGACTTATGGACTTCAACTCCCAGAATTCTAGAAATTGGTCATAGTTCCTCAGCCCTGTTTTAGAAGAAGCCAGAAATTCCGCTTAACATCTCTAAAGATCATCTCTTCTTTAATCAAGAGATGGACTCCTTTGCCAGTCTAGTTATCAGATTAGGAATTTAAATTATATAAGGGATCTGGATTTTATTAGCTGCTTAAGGATCACAGTTGAGATGATGCAGAGACAAAACCAAAGCAAAGATTAACTACTTGATTCCATTTAGGATTTTTTTTCCCTGTACATTTTGAAATGAAAACAAACATTGCTGAGTTAAAAAGCTGGCTGAAAGTTGTAAACCCTACAGTTGTGGCTTAAGCAGTCAATTGTCATTTATGTTTCTGTTAAACCAAAGCACTTAATATCAGAAAAACAGAGCTGATTCAGAAGACTCCCAGTTCAGATGTGGATTTAATGGGTGTCTTTGGATAAGTCACAATCTTCCAACCTCATTTTTCCCATTTTGTAATGGAGACCTGTCTCTCACAGACTTTAAGAGGATTTCATTAGGCACTTTGCATACAATAAGTACTATATTTAAAAAAGACCAACCTCTTCATCCATCGATCACTGAATGGAACCACTCAATAAAAGTCCTCTCTAAATGTTGACTTAAGAGCTGATGCTCACCCTTCCAGCTAGGTCAGCCCTTGATGCTATATAACTGGACAGTGTAATCATCTGCTTGGAAAATATTGCATTTGGGAGAATTTGCATAATAGAAAAGTAAGGGTTAAACTTCCAGTCTTTCCATTTGTTTTTTTCTTTTCAGCTTTTAGCCCCTTGGCTCCTTCCTGTGAAAACC